GGGCGGGGCAGAGGGCTTCAGGAGCGCGATCGGTTGTGAGATGGGTGGCGTGAGGAGGAGGATTGAGGCCAAGAGCCCGGGCAGAGCGCGCAGGGGGTGAGGGAAGAGGAGCTGCCACGCAGGTACCACTGCCGCCCCGCCAGATTGCAGCTGCCAAGCGCGCCAGCTCCCAAGCGCGGGCGCCGCACCTGCAGGATGACGGTCGGCGCGCGCTCTCCGCCGGCCTGGCCGTTCTTGTAGATGACCACGTTACCCTTGGCGTCCTGGGCCACGCGCAGCTGCCGTTCCGCAGCAAACGACTTGAGCCACTCCATGACCCTTGCCAGACGGAAGGGGGTGCATGACAAGGCCAAGGGTTGGAGGTGCAGTCAGTGCTGACATCTACGTGGGCTGCATCATGATGAGTAGCACGGCGTTCAAGGCAAGCAATGGCACCATGCTCTGCTGTACGCCGGCTGTGCAGCAGCTGCAAACGAGGCTGCACACAGGGGGAGAGCATGCGCACCTGGCCAGCTGCCTGGCACGAATGGACAAATAGCTCACCTTCCCTCCTTCCTAGAAGGCCGAGGAATCTGCGCCAGCTGCGCAAAGTACTTGAACACTGATTCCGGCTGGAGGCCGCGAACTGCCGCCAAGCCCACATCCGAAGCAGCAGCAGCGGCAGCAGCAGCAACTGGTGGCGATGAAACTGGTGCCGATGCGGCCACCACCGAACGAGCAGCGCTGCCCGCCCGCACTAAGGACGCGGCCCTCATCGCCTGCATAATGACGAAGGGAACGAGGATGCAGAGTGCACGGCTTGTTATCACGATCTTGGTGTTTTCCACGGACGACACGCGGTCTGTGCGCTCCAAGGATTTCACCTGGGCGATCATCTATAGCCACAATAGGCTGCTGATTTCAGTGAGGGGTTGTTGTTTCACTCTTCTCGGCGGTCACACGGCCCCCTCCCAGGTCAGTCCACCGGTACTGTGGCACTGCGTGCTACTGAACTCAAACTGCGAGGCAGCACAGGAGCAATCGACAAGATGTTTACAGTGCGCGTGTAAGTGTGCCGATTGATTGCTCCTGGGGCGCAGTTTGGGAAGTGATGTGGGCGCAAAGGTGAAAAGATGCATGCGGCGCGAGCTTGACTCATCATTGACGCACATGCTAGCCCCAAAACCAGCATGATCCATAATCGTACTGTAACAGTTGAAACACAAGTTGCAGTGACCTGTGTAGCTCGCTATCCATAGCTGGGTGTGTCCCTTGGGATGCAGGGGCAGGTGAAACGCAAGCAGGTCAGGCGAAACGCGAGAATGCAGGCTGTGGGGCCGGGCCCAATTGCGGCATCCCGCCGTGCAACGACAACAAATTGCAAACTGTGTCAGCCGCTTGCAACTGGACAAGCACCCTACACTGCCGTTGTGCCGGGAAAGCGTGCGCTGGAATGGAAGTGACGTCTCGTTGTGCCTTGCCACCACTGCCGATCAAGGGCAGGGCCTGATCGGGCCATGCACACTGCGGGCCCTCAAGAGGTGAATAAGTTCAGGGAAAAACAACAATGCGCGTATTCTGGATGCAACGCAAATGCTACCAAGTTGATCAACCGGCTGGGCAGCTGTACGATTTGTCGCCTCCTCCCTGCGCCATCTCCCCCCCATTCCTGCCGACCTCCCTCACTGCCGAGCGCCCTTCTTCTCGTCCTGCCGCCTCAGCCAGTCGCGCATGATGGAGTTGACCTGCAGGGGATAATCCTGGGGGCGTCGAGAGCGCGGAGAGCTTCAGGGGAAGAGGGGGTTGAACAGGGCGCCCAACGGCGGCGCGTCATGGGTGCAGGGGCGTGACAGGCCATGGGTGATGGCTGACAGGAGACCAAGCCGTCGGCCCGATTGGCGAGATTCCGCCTGATCTGGGAATAATATTGTCATGAATCTCTTAATGCCATGCCCCCTCCTCCTCACACCCCGCAATGTCTTGCGGTGCCCCACCTGCTGCACCCAGTGGCTGCAGTCCTTGAGCATCTTGACCTCAACACCGCCACCCGCGGGGTCGAACGCCGCCTCCACCCCCGTCAGCAGCTTCTCCCCCAGGGCCACGTCCTTCTCCCCGTGGAGCAGCAGGGTCGGCATGGCCAGCTGCGTGCGCAGGGCACTGCGCGAGTGGGGCATGGGAGGCGAGCCCAGTCAGGTAGCGAGGGCATCTGCAGGATGCCTCTTCATCGCAGCGGTGGAACAGATGATGTGCAGGACGATGGTGCAGTGGCCAGGGGTGGTGGCAGAACTTGCAACAGACAAAGCCAGCCATGGACCGGCTTAGGAGGGCCTGTGGCATGCGTTCCCAGGGCGTCCTCCAGCCGAGCACCGACAAGGTGGTGCCGAGCACCGCCGACCCACACGCCCACCTCCACACGTCCTGGTCTCCTGGTTGGTCTGCCAAAGTCACGGTGCGCAGCAACGCCCGATAGTAGTTGAGCGCAGCCTTGGCAGCACCTTCAGTAATAGGAGGGTGGCAGTTGGGAGGAGAGGAGCCGAGCCAGCTGACGCGTTGACCCATGCAGAGTAGGCGAAGCGCGCACAGGTCGTGGAAGGCTTGACCACCGATTCGGCCACCCCAACATGAGACAACCAGCACAGACGCAGCTCCACCCGCCAAGTTAAACGGGCCTGGCACAATGTTGCCCCAGCAGGGACCAACCATATACTCACAGGCATCCCAAGTGTGAAGCGTGCGCGCTTCCAGCCACACACACCCGGCTCACACGCCTTGCGCTGCTGGACACACGCATCCAACGCGCAGCTCACCCGGCTTGAGGATAGCGGCCCGGTACCAGGCAATATCATCCTGCGTTATTGCACCGCTGTTGATCAGCCCCGCGGGTTGCTTTGAGAAGAAAGTCTCCATCGAGGCGGCGCCGTCAGACGTGAGGAATGCCTCTGGCAGCAGTGGGGCCTGCGAGAACAGCGGGTGTGTCAGAGGGTTGTCAAAATGGAAAGTGAACGGCATGACAGGGTTGCGGTCGGAGGTGGGGGCCTGGGCAGGCGAGGCCCAATCATCAAACAAAGCACCAAACTTGCATACCTAAAAAAATGATGAGACAGCTACTTTGCCAATTCCTCTCGTGCATGGCTTCGTGCACCAGCCTCCCCGCCCCATCTCGTGCCCGACCCCCGAGCTAAGCCCCAAGCCGCCCGTGCGCTGTGGACACCTGAAAGAGCAGCATGTAGGATGATTTCTGCGCCTGAGCCCAGTCCCAATTGGTATTGCCGACGCCTGGTGCAATGGGGGGGGGGAGAAGGGCGAGACCAGGCTCCGCTGCAGCTCACCAAGAACAGTGAGGGGCTGCTGCGCCCACAACGCCAGCCGTGCGTCAGTGCACAAATCTGCTCTACACCACCAGCCGCTTAAAAACCCCATCTGCAAACAAAGCAACAACAATTAATCACGTCAAGGCTAGCATACTGTGCTACGCTAGTGCCACCAGCCCACCACTGTGAGGCAGCGCCATCACAATCAGCCGCTCCACCAGCTTTGGCCCATACATCCCCGCCACCTGAGGCGCGCGGCGCGAGAGGCGCGGCCGGGGGCGCAAGGGTGCAGCAACCAAGGAGACAGAGAGGCAGTAAGTGCTTGGGGCGGATGCAAGTGCTTGACGCACTTCCGTCGTGGGATGCATCAACGTTGTCAGTGGCCTGGCATCAGCGCACAGCACACTCGCCCCCAGCCAACCCATCTGGCAGGAACCAGCAACCCAGCGCTGCAGACATGCCACCCCTGCCGCCGCCACACTCCCAGCCCCCACCGTCCAGGCGACCAAGCCGCCCCAGTCGTGTGCGACCAGGGTGCAGCTCTCGTGGCCCAGCGCCTTGACCACCTCCTGCACGTCTGCAGCCAGCTGGGCCAGGCGGTAGTCGCTGACCGAGGGGGGCTTGTCGCTGTCGTTGTAGCCGCGCTGGTCAACGGCCACGACTGGGAACAGCGAGCAGGGGCGGGGTTGGGGTCCATAAAATGTAGGGAGGGTGGGCGGCACAGTCGCAGCGAAAGCAATTTCGTGGAGCGGCTGTTTTGACTTCCCTTGAGAACCTTTGGGCCTCAACGAATTGCATTCGATGACTTTCAGGCCTCAAAGGTGTGGCGGAGTAATTCAAACATCGGAGAGGTTCTCCTAGCCGCTGGCCCCGCCCGCCGTCCCCGTGCTCCCACCGTCGTAGTCCGCCGCAAACTCCTCCATCTGGAAGCGCCACCTGGGGGTGGCACGGCACGGTAGCGTGATGCAGTTGTCACACATGAGGCGCGAGCTGTGCAGGTGGGGCTGGGGCTCCATTGCTAGCAGCATTTACAAGAGCTGCCTTGCCCTTCATCCCCCTCCGCCCACCCACTTCACAAGGCATGACTACAGTTCACAGCAAGTCTGGGCATGGTATGTGCGTTATAGTTTTCACCGCTTTGCAGTAAAAGGCACCCCATCGTAACAGCAGATCGAGCAGCAGACGAAGGCAGTCCTTTACTCACGAATACCACAGCTCTGGGAAGCCATGCAGGAACAGCATCAGGGGCTTGCCGGGGTTGCGGCGCCGCGGCGACACGCAGTGCAGCCGCAGCCCGTTGACCGTCACAAACTCCTCGTGCAGGGGGAAGGGCGGGGGCGCGAGCCGCGCTGGCGGGGCACCCTGGCCCTTGAGCAGCAGCGGGGCGTTGTTCACCAGGCCGCCCAGCCAGATCAGGGGTGCGGCGCTCGCATAGACCAGGGCCTTGGACAGCCCGCCAGGCGCAATGCCCGCGAGCTCGGCCCGCTTGCGCTGGACCACATCTGGCGCGCTGACGAGGTCCAAAACGGGCGCCTGGCGCGCAAGCGCCGGATTGGCGGCAGCGGCGGCGGCGGAGGCGGCAGCGACGGCGGGCTTGCCGGAGTGGTCCGCTTTGCAGCGCACTCCGCCGCGGCGAAGGACCGCAGGCGGAGCTGCACCAGGGAGCAGGGTGCGTGAGAGCGTGACTAGCATTGATCGAGACTGTTGGCCCAAGCTACAGGGGAAAGAGCGCATCGTGGCTGTGGCTTGTTTCGGTCCTGTCCTATGATCCTGCCAGCTAGCGGATCCGCCCGTTGTCGATCCAATGGCGCGCCCAGGCACGTGAAAAAAATTGTTGTTAGATTTACGACCTCGCTTGCTTGAGGCGCATTTGGCACATTATCATACTGTGTGGGCACCCCGGTGACGCGCAGCGTGTGCGTTGTTGAGGAGGCAAGCAGCGCGTGTGAAGCAAAATCTATAGCGCACGTTCCACCCTTGACATTCGAACCGGGGCGGTCCACTTCCGTTGGATGGCGTGGCGCTCGTCATCCCTGCTGTCATTGCTACGAACCATTACAAGTTTAGCACCAGGTTGGGCGCGATCGCTTCGGCGCCTCCCACACACATGCACCCTCCCTGCTTTGGTCTTCACCAAGAATAAGCTGTTGTTACTGCAAGAAGCCGATCTGCACCACCATCCACCACCACCGTGGCAGCAGGCAACCACCATCATCGTCGCCCCTCTTCCCTAGCCGTCGCCCCTGGGTCGAGCAGGAACTCCAGCCTGCCCAAGGGGGGCGCCCCGACCTCCCCCGGGGCAAGTTCCCCCAACACCGTGCCACCCTGCCCCCAGAAGCCGGCACGCTTGATCACCAGCAGGTCGCTCTGGCACGAAACCTGGTGTCAGCAGTTGAGGGCGGCGGTAATTTGACGCCAGCGGTTTGACTATCCAATGCCAGACGTTGTTATTGCAGGTTGGCAGCTCAATTTAGTGTCAGGGATCAAGGCCAAGCTTTAGCAGTAGCCCGCTGCTGCGAAGGCTGGGCGTGGCCCCCGGCCCTGGGCCCAAGCACCTGGCACGCTAGGCGCAGCTGCTGGTTGTTGGGCGCCTTGTGCGGCGGGAAGTTGAGGCGCAGCTGCTCCGCAGTGGTCCAAGCCGGTGGAGATACCTCGCCCCTACTCATGGGTGAAGGAGTAAGGGAGCCGGCGAAGCAACGCAATTCACGCAACAGAAGCTCGCGAGGCAGGGCGTGGCAGCGACGCGAACACATGAACCACCCCATGCAACGCCCACTGATATTGCCTGCACCGGTGCTGCACTGACCAGCCATGACCCAGTCCGTGCCAGTACCTGATCTCAACCGCGCAGGTGCCACACGTGCCCAGTCCCCGGCAGTTGATCAGCTGCGCGCGGCCGTTGTGTGGAGACAGGCCCCCCTGCAGCAACGCGGTCCGGAGCTTGGTGCCCGCCGCCACGGCGACTGTGCGACCACGGTAAGACACCTCAACAGAAGAGGCTGAGGCTGCTACGCCGCCAAGCTGCACCTCGGAAGGCTCCAGTCCGCCGCCGCCGCCGCTGCTGCTTGCACTTGCATTGGCGTGGGTGCGCGCAACAGCAGCACGTGGTCTGCGCGGTGCCACCCACGCGCAGCGCCGTTGCAGCGGTCGCAACGTCCAGACTTCATGCCCGTATTGGCTGATTTCGAGCATCAATTGTCGCGGCTTGAGGTGCTGCATTCGACGAGCCTCTCGCACGTCCAGGCGAGCCACAAGATCGTATAGTACCGTAGATATATAAACAAGTGGTCAGCCAGGTGAATACGCAAATGTGGTGGCACACAGTATTCGCAAAGATGTTGAGGCACAGAATAATGAGCATGACATCCAAGGACAACAGCAGGAGAGCGGCGGGCACCGTCTGCATCGGGTGACGCAAGGGGGGGGGGG